GGGTGACACGGGCGGGGTGACACGGGCGGGGTGACACGGGCGGTGTCATCCGGAAACGTTTGGTGGGAGGGACGCCCAAGGGTTGGGCGCGGGCCGGGCATGTGCCACTCAGAGCCGGGGCTGACGCTCGTGGTCCCTCCTCTCAAGCCAACCGCAGACAACCAACCCCGCGCACGCCGGCGTGCAGTGTCGCGAAAATGGATTCAACAGTGTGTAACGAACGAGAAACGAGCCATAAGCACGCCGCGACAAAGCGTGTCGCATGATACTGAACAGGTTGCTGCGTCCCGCACCTCGAAGAAGATGGAGGTGGCTGAGATCTTCTTGGTGTCGGTCTGGTAGCCGTGGGACAGGTGGCCGCCGTGGGGCAGGTCGAGGGCCATGATGCGGTCGTGGGGCTGCAGCAGGGCGGTGTACACCTGGGGGGGAAGGGGGGTGATGGAGTGTGGAGTGGTGCGGCGGTGGTTTGTTTTCCTTGCTTGCCAGGACTCGTGGAGAGTCGATAACATAAAGGTGCAATTAAGATTTGCTTGATGTAATTCAGGCGGTGCCCGGGGGGCAGTAAGGCGGGCTGCGGAAGGGGAAAGGTGTTCTGAGGGGCCCCCTGCGGGCCTGGCCCCGACTGCCGGCGGCCGCCGCCGCCAGGGCAAACGGGGCGACCGCTGCTGCCTCCCCTTGAGCCCCCGCCCTGTTCCTGGGGCCCCGCCACCGGCCGCCGCCGCGGCAAGCTGCTCCTCCGTGCCTCATTACCCTGCAGACGCGAACAACACCAACCCATCTTTCCCCCTCTGCCTGCCACCGCCTCCGCCGCCACACTCGACTCTGAAGCCATAGCCCCCTGGAACTGCTGGCCCTGCGACCCCGGACCGTCCCCTGCCCTGCCGCGGGCCGTGCCCCCGCCCAGCCTGCGGCCTTTTCGGGTCCTTCAAAACGGCCGAAACCCCCACCTGGAAGTTCGAGGGGGAGCCGCTGAGCGGCTGCACGTTGACGCCCCACTTGGCGGGGTCCAGGCGGAACGCCTCCAGGGCGCGCTTCTGCGGGGGTTGTGGCAGAAATGTTGCAGACGTGTAGGTGGGTTGTAAAAAACAGGGTGGGCGGCCCTCCGTGGGGGCGGCAGGTAATTTTCAGAGGCGCTTGCAGGGCGGCGGCGGTGGCCACGGGCCTGAAATGTGGCGGGCCAAGGGCCGGCCCCGCTAGTGTATGTGAGTGTGTGTGTGTGTGTGTGTGTGTGTGTGTGTGCGCGTCAGGGGTTGAGCACGGCGGACCCAGCCCGGCGTGCAGTCCTGGGGCGCTTACACCCCATCGCGTCCCGTGCAAGGCCCAGCCCGCCCGGAGCCACGCCCCAAACTTCCCGCCGCAAACTTCCCACCTGGCACAGCCGCTCAGCCTGGTCGATGAACTCGTTCCCGCCGTAGTAGCGCGCCCCGGGGTACCCCTCGCTGTACTTGTTAGTCATCACGCTGCCAACCGCCTCCATGACTGATGCCGACACGAAGTTCTCGCTGGGAATCAGCTCCAGGCCCTGCGGCGGCCGGGCAGGCAAGGGCGGCGCGGCGGAGCCGGCGGGCGAGGCGGTGGGTGCGGCGTGGCGCGGCCGCGTCGAAAAAGAGGTTGCGGATGAGGGGCGTTTCGGGGAGGCAGGATCCCAGGATTCCTCCGCCGCGGCCGCGGCAGCCAGAGGGGGGATGTCCAGTTGCCGACGCCACCCGCTGTGACCGCCGCGGGCCGCGGCCGCCCGCGCGGCACGGCAGGGTGACCCCGGGGCCCGGCCGCGCCGGCCGCACAGCTCCCAGCTCTGCCGCGACTGGCCGCCCGCCCTGCGGCCTGGTTGAGGGGGACCATGACCCCGCGATCCGCCGCCCCCGCAAAATCCCCGCGCCGGCCGAGCCGGCGGCTGTTGCGGCGGCCCCAGGCGGCGTGCCCGGGGCAGCTGCGGCCGCCGCCGCGGCCTCCGCGCCTTGCGGCCCCACTTCTGTCGCCGCCGCCGCCTCCAGCGTCCCGCAGTTGGCCGCTGACCCCGAATCCATTCCCTGCTGCTGCCAAACACATCCGCCTGCGCCGTTCAAGCCCGCAGCCGCCCGCTGCTACCCGACAAAGGCGACCGCCACCGCACGCCCGCCAAAGCGCAGCTCATTAAAGCGCTGTGCAGGGCGCACGCCGAGCGTTGCTTTTCTCTCTCACACCTCGCGGCGCCGCGCGGAGTGCCCTGTCCTGCTCCTGGCCGCACCTTGTACTGCCTGTTCTTCTCCCGCTCGATGATGTCAGCGAGCTCGGGGTCCACCTCAGCGAGAGGCGCGTTGAGCACTTTGGGCCACTGCAGCATATCATAAGTTGGGGTGGGATGGGGGTTGCTGGTCAAGAGGATGGTCGGGGTGAGGTGCTCTGGGGAGGTGGCAGGGGCTCGGTGGGGGTTGATGGGGCAGCCGGTGCGCGCGCCGGCCAAAGGTGTTTGACTTGTGGAGTACGAGAGGGGCTGCAGGGCTGGTATCTAGTCCAGTGCATCCACGCACGGGGCGCGCGAGGCGCGGCGGCGGCTGTGGTTGCTGATGGCTATCTAGTGGCAGCGGCCGCAAGGTCAAAGGTCGAAATGTGGCAGTTTTTCGCGCGGGCAGCCTTGCACGGCTGTCCAGATGGGAGGTGCTGCTGCCGCGCCGACAGCATGCATCTTCTTTGGCCCCGTTTAAAGCGAGCCAGCGCCGGCTGGGCCCTGATCCAGACCGAAAGCAGCCTCTGGCATATCAACTGGTGCGCTGGTGGCTGCGGACGCCAATGAGCGCCTTTGGATGCCGCACAACGGCCGAGCGAGCCGCTGCGCCAACAGCGCGTCAACTGCGCCGCGCGCATGCTCCGCGCACCGTAACGTGGCTGCGTGACGCATCTGTCGCGAACTTATCGTAATCATCATCGTTACGGGCCGCCTGCGAGGCAGAGAGGTGCCAGTGTGAGCCTGGATGACGGGCGCGCGGGGTCGTCTGCTGCCCTCGGCTCCTACTACACTCCTCGGGACGCACCTGTGCAGCGAAGCCCCTGTTCAGCGAAACCTGCAAAATAATAGATGCATATGGTCATTGGTGGGAGCTTGCGTACCAGGGAAGGGCCGTCCAAGCCACGCAAGGCTTACCAACGGGGCCAGATCCTGCCTCGCGCCCGCAAGCAACAGCTGGGCTGAACGACGGAGAGCCATGGTGATCAGCCTTCGTTTGAAAGTGGTGTCGCGGCGTAGGGGTCGCGTTGAAGCTTTGTTCCTCGAGTTGACGTTCTTGGGGCGGTGACTGATGAAGGTTGCCGACGGGATGGTGTACGGGACTTCCGTGGGCGCGAGTTGATCGCATCTGTTTGTTGATTGTATGTTGACATCGACAGGCGTCCTGGCGACATCCCTCACGGTCTCGAGTCCCGCTGCTGCTTAGCGGCACTCCCCCTCCTTTAGAACGGCCTCCGCGCCCGCGCAGACAGGGACACCATGGTGTGGTTCCACTGCGACGAGTGCGGGGACAGCATCAAGAAGGTGCGCGCGCGTCGGCCGCCGCCGCCGCTGCCCGCCGGCCGCCGCCCCCGCGCACCAGCGTCGCGCCGCGCGCCGCGCGCCTCACCCCCTCCTCCCCCTCCCTCCGCGCTGCAGCCCAAGCTCGCGAACCACTTCAGGCAGTGCTCTAGTCACAGGTTCACCTGTATTGACTGCAGCGCATCTTTTGACCGCGACAGCGTCCAGGTGTGTTTACCTACCCGCCACCAGCGCCGCCGCCCGCGGCGCCTGAAGCCGCCCCTTTCCACCCACACCATCGCGCAACCGCCGCGCGGCTTTTCCAGGCACGCGGCCTGTACGCGCGGATCCGCTGCGGCAGCGGCGGGCGCCGCGCAGCGCACCGCAGCAGTTCGTCGGCGTTTGCTGCCCTGATAACCCGCGGAAGCTTCCGCCTCTACTCGGATCCGTACTCGCACGACTGCCCCCTCCTTGCTCCTTTCCCCCAAGCAACCCAACATACAAACGTCGAAACCAACAACACAACAAACATTACCCATCGCAGAAGCACAGCACCTGCGTCACGGAACACGAAAAGTATGCCCTCGCCGCCACCAAGCCCGGCGGCAAGGCCGCCAACGGCGCCGCCGCCGCCGCAGCTGCCGCCGCAGGCGGCGCAGACGGCGCCGCGGCGGGCGAGGCGCAGGGGCTCGAGTTTTTGTCAAAGGCGGCGCCCTGGAAGTGCAGCGCATGCAACGTGACGTGCACGAGCCAGGAGACGTTGCTGGCGCACGCGGGTGGCAAGAAGCACAAGCAGAGGGTGGGCAGGCTTGCTTGCACACGCGCTTGCGCGCGTGTTTGTGCAACGCGAGCTTTGTGGCGGGTGGCGCCGAGGTGGAGCAGGAGGGCAGGTTTGCTGTGTATGGCCGGCGCCGGCTGCCTCGGAAAGCGGGCGGGAGGTCAGTGTTTGCCTGTCGAGTCTCGGGAAAAAGGCCTGTTGTGTGTTTCTTAAGGCTTGGGCAGTCGGGGTATTGTCACATGTGCGGCGATGCCCCTTGCCTCATCGTTGCCCTCCCAAACCCATGTGCACGCCGCCCCTCAGGTGCGGGCTGCGCAGGCCGCTGCCGGTGGCGGCGCCGATGCGGCGGCGCCGGCCGCAGCCGCGCCTGCAGCCGACGCGGCGCCCGCGGCCGCCCCAGCTGAGGTGGCGGCGGAGGCGGCTGAGGGCAAGAAGGAAAAGAAAGAGAAGAAAGAGAAGAAAGACAAGAAGAAGAAAGGGGAGCAGCAGCAGGAGCACGAGCACCAGCAGGAGGAGCAGCAGCAGCAGCAGCAGGAGCAGAAGCAGGAGGAGCAGGAGCAGCAGCAGCAGGAGGAGGCGAGCAAGGGCAAGAAGGAAAAGAAGAAGGACAAGAAACGGAAGAAGGGGGAGGAGGAGGAGGCGGAGGGGCAGGAGAAGGACGCCGCTGCTGCCGCCGCTGCTGCTGCTGCTGCCACGGCGGCGGCGACGGAGCAGCAGCAGGAGCAAGGGGACGAGGCGGCGGCAAAGAAAGCGAAAAAAGAAAAGAAGAAAGAAAGGAAGGGGAAGGAGCAGCAGGGGGAGGCTGAGGCGCAGCCCGAGCCGCAGAGCATGGCGGCGATCGCGGCGGAGGCGGCGGCGGCGGCGGAGCCAAAGCAGCAGCAGGAGGGCGGCGCGGGCGCCGCGGCGGCGGCGGAGGGCGAGGGGAAGAAGAAGCGCCGGCGCAGCAGCAAGGGCGCCGTCGGCGCCGCCGACGCCCCGGCCGCCGAGGCGGCGGCGGCAGCGGCGGGCGCCGCGTCGCCGCTGCCGCTGCAGCCGCTGCAGCAGAACGGCGGCGGCCCCTCCCCGGCGCCGGTCGCGGCCGCGGGCGACGCGTCCAAGGGCGAGGTCGGCACCGATGGCTCGGCGCCACCGTCCGAGGGCAAGCGCGCCAAGTCCAAGGTTCCGAGCGTCACCCAGATCATCAACAAGGCGGCGCAGCGGCTGAGGTCCAAGGGCAAGATCACGAAGCGGTTCCTGAGGCGGCTGGGGCAGCGGACGCTTGGGGAGGCCTGGGGGGATGAGGTCATGGCTGACATTACTAAGCAGGTGGGTTTTTCTCTGAGTCGTAGTAGTTGCTGTGTGTTTTGTGAGGGCCTTGCTTTTGTTTGATAAGGGCATGCTTGTGTGTGTGTGTGTGTGTGTGTG